TATGTGATTCTTTAGGCACGTTGATAGGATAGTCTGTCGGGTAAATAGGGAGAAAAGAATTAGGTTATGCTATCAAGGGGCAGGGATGAGGGATATAACCGACAGAGCAAGTGGTAGAGTAAATGTGTCTAGCAGTTATGCATCATTTATAATACACATATGGGCTAATTATGTAGGGAAGAGTAGGTCAGAGTAGCCAATTGTTAAGCACAAACCATTCATAAAGGGAATAAAAAAAGGGTCATAATTTAATTCTGTTAGGGATATTGCCAAGACTTAATGTGTGGATGAAATTATAAGTTGGTCACTAGGGCTAAATGTTAGGCTTAGGTTAATATGTAATAATGGACAGATTGGCTGGTTGAACTTGTGGGATTACTAGGGCTGAATGACTTAGGTTAATATATAAGGACGAACAGGCTGATTAGTTGGATTTGTGGGATCAGTTCAATTGGGAAAGGCAGCTTTTGGAAGGTATGGTTTACATTTAAATAGGGTTGAGACTGGCTTATTTGCAAGAGTTACTAATTCAACTCTAGGGCAGCTTTAAACTAGAACTAGATTGTGGCAAGGGCCAGAATAATGAAGATCTACAATATAAAATTTCGAGAAAAGTACAGCGTAGAAACAAAGTACAAAATTGTTGTTAATAGTAGATTAAACTGTTATTATTGCAAACTTAGAAGTATAAAGAGTAAAATATATGACTTTAGAGCACTGGTCGAAACAGAGGATTCTGTTATACTGGGAATAATTGAAACTTGGTTAAATGTAAGAAGTTTTGATGACAGGAATTTTTTTGAAATTGGGTTATAGGTCGTTTAATAATGATAATGTACTACAACGATGGGGAGGAATGGCTTTATATGCAAATTGGGAGCTACATTCTTTTCAAGTTGAGGATATCAAGCTAATAGCAATGAGGTTGAATCTGTTTGGATTTATGTTGTGGTTCTAAAAGGAGTAAGCTTTTGGTTGGAATTTGTTACGAACCACCAGATGCAACTGATGAAAATAATGAAAAACTCTACAGTGAGATAAAGAACTCGGCTCTTACTACGGTTATATTCATGAAAGATTTTTTATTTCAGGCATATAGATTAGGAAATGCTAAAGTCAAATCACAATGGACACAGGGTTTTAGAAGCTATTCAAGATAGTTTCTCCACCAATTGGCTACGGAACAATATTATTTTAGATTTATTTTTAACTTCTAATATAGAAATCGTTGGTAGGTGGAGAGTGGGGAACACCTGGGTGCAAGTGGTCATTGCTCAATTAGATTTGATGTTCTGCTGCAAATAGAGATAAAGAATAATGAAATTTTGGTTTCAAATGAAAAAATAAAAGGAGACAAAAATTATCTGCTGTGAATTGGGCAACTGAATTAATTGGAGATACTGATCAAATGTGGAGTAATTTTTAAAATCTTAAATATTCGAGATAAGCATGTTCCTTATAGAATAAAAAGGATGGCTGCATTGAAAAATCACGTTGCCTCACAAAGGGTATAAAGGATAACATTTAAAAAAAGGCATTATAAATATAAGATGTGTAACTTGATTGCAATGATAGCAGATATGGAGGATTAAAGAAGATCAAAAGAGTTAGTTAAACGGAAAATTAGGATGTCGAAGAACTATATGAAAAAAAGGCTGGTTGAAAATGTAAAAATCAATAATAAGGATTTCTTTAAGGGTAAGTAAAGTCTTTGGATAGGAGTAGAGCCTTTTAGGGATGATATAGAAAAGCTTATATCTGGTGATTATGGAATGTCTGGGTTATTTAATTATACAATTTTTGAATTTTTAAAAAGCATTATTAAGCAATATTTTTCATTCCGAACAGTTTCTAACTGGAAACAAGATTGAACAAGATGATTAAATTAATTTTGGGCTTGTTAAAAAAAAAGAATAGTTTGAAGAATGATAAAGTTCCTGGGCCAAATAAATGTTTGTGAATCCTAGAATAGTGGGTTGGTGCTAGAAAACTGGAATGTGGCTATTGTTAATCCTCTTTTCAAGAGAAATGGTAAAAATTGTCCCAGTAACTATGGGCCCATTAGTCCTACATCAGTGGTGGGGAAACGTTTTGAAAGTCTGATAAAAATGTTTTGAATATTTATCTAACAAAGTTTAAAATTTTGTTGGATAACCAGTATGGTTTCAGTAGGAGAAAATCTTGCCTTACTGATCTTTTGATATCCTTTGAAGAGGTTTCCATTTTTGTAGATAAGGGTACGGATGTGGATTTGATGTATCTGTATTTTCAGAAAACATTTGACAAGATGCCACATAAAAGACTTGTTAAAAATTTATCTCTGTATTTGTGGTGTGGGTTGGCTCATTGGATAAAAAAACTGGTTGATCAGTTTTTTAAGACATCCAAGCAATACGCTGTTGCTACTAGCAGGACAAACAGAAATTTAGGTTGTATCTACAGAAATACTGAATACAATTCTAAATAAGTTGTAATTTCATTATATAAGTTATTAGTTAAGGCACATTGGAAGTACTGTGTTCAGTCCTGACTCCTTACCTTAGAAAGGACATTGAATTATTGGAAAATACTCAGAGTAGGGTTAGCATTATGGAAAGTTTGTCATGCTAGGACGTTAATATATCTGAAATTGGTTTGTAAAGAAAAAATACGTTAGGGAGGATCTGATTGAGGTGTTGATGCATCTTCTTTTTATGGTATTTAGTTGTGAGAATGGTAGGACTAGAGAACACAAATATAACTGTTGGCAGGGTATGACTCATCTTCAGCTTTATTTTTCTTATTTTTCATTCGCCTTTTGAATGAGTTTCCTTCAGATTTGGTAGATGCAGTTAATTTAATGGATTTTAGAGGTAAGCTTGATGAATATTTGAGTGACAAGGGCTGACTTTGAGTGTTTTAGTTTTTATTTTGCAGTTTATTATAGTGGATGGGATGGTCTAGATGGACCAACAAATCCCTTATTGTCCTTAAATTATATGTTATATCTCATGCTATTTGAATAAATCTTGAGGTTTGACAGGGTTGTCACAAGTGCCTTACTATGTATTGTATACGTAAAAGTGGTTTGACTAATACATAAAAGTACTGTTTGGTCTAAATCTTTTAATCCATATGGTTCATAAGGAAAACACTTTTCGGATTGATAAGTTAAATTTGCTTTAGTCAGATTTGTCTGGCGTAGACTGTCTTTTCTATTCTCACTTTAGTAAACCTTTTTAGTCCAGAAATATCATAAATAAATTCAGTCCAGAAATATCATAAATGAATTCAGTCCAGAAACATCATAAATGAATTATGTTTAGAAGTTGAACTATTTTTGTTACTTTTATTTCTTCATTGTATCTAATATTTTATTTTATTTTTTAACCACACGAAAGTCACTTCAAAAACTTAAAAATGTCTTACTTTATTACCATACCACAACTAGCAAGTATTAATTTCGTTATCATACTAAAACGCACATGTTTTACTTAAGAATGTTTGGACTTTATACAGAGTGTTGCTATAACTGGCAGAACAGTGTTCATTATTCTCAATCATTTTATCAAGCATATCCCTAAATGAAGCTAATGCAAGAACAATCTATTCTCGAGAGTGTTCATTGATCCTTGTAATAGCTCGCACATTGACTCACATTTTATTCAAACCAACAATATCATATTGTTGAGAGAGAGAGAACGTGAGAAATAATAACAATTCTAGTTTTTAGAAAATCAGTTAGTAATGAACTATAATTAATATACGTATATACGTCCTAAACTTGGCTGAAAAAACTTGATTTTTAATGTGTCTCTGGTAAAAGTTTATTCACCCCGAACAAATAGGATACAATCATTTTAATTTTTATGATAATCGCACGTACTTACTTTGTACCATATTTATAATTATTTAGTTTTGTTACCATAAGACGATTCTAGAGTATTCCACTCAGTAACCATATGTGATATACCGCTAGTACCAAGTTTATTATAATACGACAATTCGTAGGTGTTAATGTTGTAACATATGACCGTTCGCAAATATTTAATGTTGTGACCATACGCAAGTATTTAATTTTATCATACGACAATTCACAAGTATTTAACTTTATAACAATACATATATATATAACAATTCGTAAGAATTTAGTTTTGTAACCATACGACAATTCACAAGTATTTAACTTTGTAACAATACATATATATAACAATTCACAAGTATATAGTTTTGTTATAATACGACAATTCATAAACACTTGATTTACTTTATATTGTTTCATCGCTATAGCAACTCACAACAGACAGAAAAATAAGGAGCGAATTGTTCGTGTACTGAAATATCATACAGTCTTTGATGTCGTACAATAGATTATATTTGGTTAAAGGTCAGAGATTATTTGAAACCATATTTCATCATAACTTCATAACAACTTTTAGCGTACGTCAGCAGTTTCATCTATTGAAAACATTACGCAAGAAAGAGTCTGCTTTAAATTTCAAATAGAATGAAGCATATATAAGGTTTCGGACCTTTTACTCAAGCTATATAAGGTTTCGGAGTTATTAATCATGCTTGCAAGATAATAGATTTCGCAAGAAATTAGTTTTAACTTTTCTCTTTATCCATTGACATTTTTCCTTTCCACATCTGTTCTGAAATGCCTTATGTATAGTTTTCAATCACGCCAATATTATTATATCTTCCTTTACATTATTTTTCATTGATATGCGAAATTATTTGATCGAGATAATATATCATAATAAACCATTAAAGCACATATAATATCCTAGGTTCAGATGAAACTTACAAAGATTTATAGCACTTTGTATAAAGTAAGAGCCTTGACCTTAGAATACTTCTTGGTATGTTTTGTTTTTACGAAAATAGAACACTAACAATTTTAAAATGAAATGACTCACATGAAATGGTTGAATAAATACAGTGATGAAAATATAAAACTCACTACAAGGCCTGTTATAAATTACGATATGCTGTATGTGTAACTGATATCTACATACCTTCACTACACAAAGATCTGACATCGAATGAAGGATTTCTGATGGATTTCATATTGGTTAGTGTATAGGGAAGGAAGTCTGCAAATGGAATGGAAATGTTACTTATATTCCAGAACTGTAAATAACATTTTATATTTGTTTTTCTACCATTATATTAGTTTCACTGCCGTATGAAAGGCGTTTACTTTTGTCTCAATGTTAGAGTAGAAATTATACATTAGAATAAAACGGTAAACACATTTTTACACATAAAACTCAACTTTTAGATTGAATTCGTGAGAACAATTAATTGTTGTTGTCTAGACAATTCAGTGGTTCTGTTTAGGTAATGGCCATGTCTATCTAAAACGGATTAAATAAGTAAGTTAATCCTATGCTTGCTTGTAAGGCACATAACTTCGGTTTTTCGTGGCACAAGATGATGAAATTGTAACACCTTCGTCCTAGATGGTATTCACAGAGTTAACCTTCAGCTACCAATTGGTACCCATTATACAACTCAGTAGACTGAAGCAACTGAGGTAAAGTGTCTTACCTAAGGAAACAACGTCAAGCCTCGAACCCGCAACCTTTCGATCACGAGTCTAAACATTAACCATTAGGTCACGCCCTAAAACGGATTCTAAGTTGGTAAGAAAACTGCCTTTAGCATGAAAGTACTTTTAAAATGATTCTGACTTTTAGGAAACTAGTTCTACTTTTCTACCGTTGCTCTCTTTAACAAGTAGTCTGAATTTAACATTTCTATTCATCGCATCATGTAAGAAAGCAAAGTTGAACAGAACATGTATTTAATGTTTACTCTTGATCAAAGTAAGCTGCCTACGTAAATCAGAGTTATAAATTAACCCAGTAATTGATAGAAATAACTTAATTTAATGATTTTACGGTTTTACTACAATGATTAGAATGTATTGTTTCATTAGTTTGGTACCTTCGTTGTTATTAATAGCTTCGGTCGTAATTCCAATATTATCTCGCGAGATTCGAAAGCTTAGCAGATTTAGGTTAGTCCTAAATTCACATACTAAACCTACCATACAAAATAATCATTATAATGGTAATACATAATGAAAAAAATAACAAATAATAAATATATCTGTATATATATATTAAACATTCTAATTTATGCTAATAACAAACACTTATTGATATAATGCTTTTTAAGAAGGTAATATTTCTTACAATAAACAAGCTTACTTTATAATAACTACTTCTATCGCATTTATAACTCTTAACATTCTCAATATTTAACGTCTGCCTGTAGCCCCAGCCATACATTTCCACAAATGATTCAGAGTAAAGCCAACTAACCAAAGAAATTATAATTCAGTGTATTTTTAGCATTTGAAAATAACAATCAGATGAGATATCTATCCACTTCCGATACAAGACAATTATTGTTTTAATGAGAATTATATTACTAGCTCATCAAATTAAAAGTTCCTAAACTGTACGGGCACGGAGTTTAGATACTTTATGAATATTTTGCAAAATACAATACACATATTAAAGTTTATGTACTTGTATGTGGCTTTAAATATCCATCTCTCTATGATACTGACGAAAAATAAATAATTTGGAATGAAAAAATGGAAGTAAATACTGTTTGATACTGGCAATTTCAACAATCAACATCTTAATGGAATGTCAAAGTTAGCTACGCAACACAGCACGGCTAGAGGGAAAGGATCGCACATGTAAAGTTTGTGTTCCACTGAAGGAAATTTATAGCTAAGAAAGCAAGGTATGTTAGGTTTAACAAGAAGAAATGAGATCTTCATTAAATATGTTTCATGGTTAACACATGCTTGTCAAAGACAGAGGGATAGCCATGGGAAATATTATAGCTTCTGTCAAAGACAAAATATTATTTTTTATGATTTGTTTTCTATGTGACTCAGTAAATACTCATGTTTATAACTTTTATTTACAAAAGAAAACAACTGAAGCTCCATAAAAACTTTATTTAACCATGCTCCACAAAGGCTCAGAAGTAAACTTGAGGACATTTACTTAAAACAACGAGTTTAGTTGTAGGCACAATACTGTTTGCTCATTTAATTACAAAAACAAATTATATAATCATTATTTTAGCTAATGTATTCTTCTAGGTGAAGCATGTTACATCAACTAACACATTTTAGTTAATAATAAGTGTCCATGATATATTATGTCACCGGAAAGATATAAGCCTGTCTGATGAGAATAGTAGTAGGCATAATTAGGACATATTCAATGTATTATTG